ATCTTGCTTGTGAGCCGCCCAGAGTCCCAATGGGAGTGGGCGGCATACAAATTTTATTAAACTAAACTAAACTACAGACCTGGGAAGGTCAGAAGTGCAGGCATTGATCACAAAGTTATTGTTTTCAACACTTAATGAACAGTCACTAAATGAAAGCAAAGCGCTAAACGAGGACCTCCTGTATAAAGTGTTCCCCTCTCTCATGCATTTCTGACACTGTTAGAATTCCAAACAACTGGGGAGCAATTGATCGAGAAAGGCTAGTACAGATAGCGTGCAAAGAATGGTTTTTTTATCGTCTTCCGAAATTTAGTTGAAAGGTATCCCTTTGTTTTGTAGGATTGGGAAGAAAATGCTAGCCGGGATGTGTCTCTGAGGAAACATCTTGATCTCATCACTCAGATGATCATTCAGTGGCGAAAGCTAGAATTGAAGTACGTACCATTAATTTCCTTTTTAATATCTTTATTTAAATAGGAATAGTTGACCCCCATCTTATAAAGATCCTAGGACGAGTTACAGGAAAAAAACAGGTAGTCCTGGGTGAACCATAGTAATTATAGTATACAACTATAGTAATTGGGAACATAATTTCTGTTAGTAAGCAGCGCATTCACAAATGAACACTCAGACGTAATGTGACTACATCACTTAGCAACAGTGATCTTGGCAGCCTTGGTTGTTGTCATTAAGTGAGATTTATGGGTTGTTAAGCCTGGCAGTGAGTTCAGCCAGACCAAGAGTGGCTGCCAGCAGCCAAGTAGCCACTACTTGAGGCATCCTATGCTCTGCTGCTCCTGCTGCCTCTCACTTACCATTGCCATCTTATGCCTCTCGCTGCTTGACAAGGCATGCCGAACCTCTCCCTGCCCCAGCCGAGCATCATGGTGAAAAGCTGCAACTGTCCTAGCCCAACATCAAGACACAGAACCGCAGCTGCCTCAGCCTGTCCACAACCTAGGGAAGAAGAAGGCCTTGGCGTCGCCAGCAGTTGCCTCGTGAAGGCCAGACTGGTTACACCTTATTGGCAGTTGGAGCAAGAAGAGGGCGAAGTTCATCAGGGTAGTGGACAATAAAGTGTTCTGGGCAGCTGCAGATGGAGCAGCAGGCTCTTTGCCGCATGAAGTGGGGCAGGGTGGGGCTGAAACAATTGGTGCTTTCACTGCAGAGGCTGGAGTGAGTTGGGATGGCAGTGGCTTCATATCTTGTTGCTAAGGACTGTGGAGCGCATGGCCTGCGTATCATGTGCATAGTACAATATGTGCACATCCTGAAGTCATAAAAGATCATGTGACTGCAGGGGCACATCAGTAGCCATAACTTCAAGAGCTGAGTGTAAATACTATTTGTTTAGTGCTATCATAATTTTGAACAGTCTCTAAATGAATGATTAAGTAAGGCCTACCATAAAGCAAATTAAGCAATATAGTAAAAGAACAATAACCATAGTGAAGTAATGTAGAGGCCTAGATTTGTTTACAACAGACATTAGAACTCTGCCAAATTGTGATTAACCTGAAGGCTGGATTTTTAAAAAAAAAAAAATTCTTCATTTAGTGTTGGATAAACAAATGACTGTTATTGAGGATAAACTGAGGAGAAGGGATGGCAGAACCTGGAAGCAGAGTGAAAACAGGGATTTGCTTAGAATACCGATAAGGCCACAAGAGAATAGCAATAGCAGTAGCAATAGCAGTTAGACTTATATACCACTTCATAGGGCTTTCAGCCCTCTCTAAGCGTATTGCCCCCAACAACAATCCGGGTCCTCATTTTACCCACCTTGGAAGGATGGAAGGCTGAGTCAACCCTGAGCCGGTGAGATTTGAACAGCTGAACTGCAGAACTGCAGTCAGCTGAAGTAGCCTGCAGTGCTGCATTTAACCACTGCGCCACCTCGGCTCT